AAGTGAGAGACGAAGAAGGAGACACGAGAAGGGGCAGTGGATAAGATGACGCAGAAGTTTGAGGTCATCGTAGCGAGAAAAGAGGAGGCGACTGCCAAGCGCAGTGAGCCCAAGGAGGAAAAGAAGGCGGAGAGATTCAACATGTCTATGGAGATGCAAAAAAAGAAGATTAAGCTTGAGGTGCAAAAGTTGTTGTCCGTGGCAGACGATCTAGATCCCGATGCGGCAAAGTTTGTTGAAGACTACCGTGCTACCATATGCAGACGTTTTGCGCAAAAGGAGTGTGAAAAGGAGGCGAAAATTGAGTTCTTTGGCACGGACAACTTGAGTGGTTTTATATATATGGCGGACATCTGGTGATGTCCAATAGGATCTGAGCGAAAGCTTCGTACTATCTGGTGCCGGTGTCGGTGACGCTCTTGGGTGCCGCTTGCTTGTTGAAGTCATCGTCGTGAATCTCGTTATGTCAGGGCTCCGGGTGAAAAACTTTGTCTACACGGACTCGGCAACGGCGACGCTGTGCGTCGTTGCCCTCTTGGGTGTGTTGTCATGGAGCTTAGGAGTCGTCGGTCCGGCCTTGGCGAGGTGCTAGCTTGTGCTAGGTTTATCTTGTACCTTTGGATTTGCTTTGTAAAAAGGCCTCCTCACCACATTGTATCGTTCGGCCGTGTAATTTATCGTGTTGCTTTATTTATAAAGCGGGTCAGTGGGGCGAAAGCCTATTTCAAAAAATTCGTTTGCCACCTCAATACACATGTTGGGTCCAATTCAACGCTTGGAATATGCATGGTGAAAATGAGAGCCACGTCAAGCGGCCGGGGTGGATGGTGGGACGGAAGCAGAGTGGGCGGACAGGATGACAACCAGTATACTACATAGTTGCCTGCTGGATTAGTTTAGTTTAGCTTATAATATAATAAGTCCACTGACAGACAGAATTACTTTTGTCTCCGGAAACCAATACTGCCTGAACTGCTGGCCACAACGCCACTAGCTAGATAGATAGATCTGGATTCCTGGTCCTTGTCCTTGTAACAGCAGTACCATCCATGGATGAGTGAATGACTTTACTACCACTGCCTCTTCCCCTTTCTTTCCAAGTTGGGAAATAACTTAACTTATGCAGCACAAAAGGAGGGGCTTGTATACCTGCCTGCTTGCTTCCCCAACACAAGACACACCTGCTGAATCAAGCAAGCAGAATCTTCTCTCCTTGTATCCATCCATTCATCCATTGGTACCTTCCTTCAGGATGAAAAGAAAAGAAAATCATTGCAACATGAGTGACATGTACTAGTACTACTAGAGAGAGGATCATGCACAATCATGAAACACTCATAAGCTTCAACAGTGCAAGTGCCCAATCACTTGAATGAAAGACGGAAGTGCTGTGCACACGAACTGTGCATGCACGATCCACACACGAAATGATTTGGGCCACAAAGATTTACAAAGCGAGGCAACCCAAGGGTGTAGATGTGTTGTCGTGCGCAGATCGTGCATGGATTTATCGTGTGTATAGCAGTGCTCAATGAAAGATGAGAATATGATCATCACCTCATCATCATTCATCCCTTACCCCACTCTACTTGAACCCTACTCTACTCTGCTGCAGGAAAGAGAAAATGACAGCAACAGAGGATTAACATGACAGATGATGATCATGTACTCTTGACTTGAGTGACCCATCGCGTAGCATTGCATATTAAGTCAGACGGTACATAATTAGGAAAGACAAACAGATATTAACAACACAAGCAATCCACGACGATGATCAGGTAGACCACAACTAGCTACTCCCTCCGTCTCATAATATAAGAGCATGCTGCTCTTATATTATGAGACGGAGGGAGTAGCTACGAAAGAACGGTAGGCAGCAACCAACACATGAAGGGTGCTAATCTAGGAATACATCGTCATATCGCATAGATGGTTATTAACTTGATGACAACAACACTTCTTCATGCTGGACTAGACTGGACTCGATCGATCCAACTGAGCCAGATGATTGATCAATCAATATCGATTGACAAGCAGCACTAGTGTCCTCCTTCACCTCCGACCACCCAGCGTCGTATACCATCGACCTCAGCAGTGACTATGTCTTCACTAAGTCGTCGATGCATTTCCAGTCACGGATTCGAGGTAAGGAGCTCTCTTCCAGCGGTGCCCGGTCACTGTTTGTCAGAATGCCTCATCTAAGCTCGCCAACAGCAATGGCAAGGCAATGATGACCATAATCCACAACAGTGCTGGCCACAAAGACGGACAAGTCGATGACCTCCACTCGCCAATGCCGGAGCAAGAGTCGTGGCCGGACACCAAAAAAACAAAGGAGGACACCCGGTAGTTGGATGCCGACCAAAGAAGAAGAGGGGCAATGTACTTGGACAAGAAGGATGAATTGTTGAGTTTGGCATGGTTGGCCAGTGTTGGTTCGTTTCAAGGCGCGGAGCAAAAGGGCTTGGCTTTTTGGTAAAGCGTGCACGATCGGTTTCACGAGCAAAAACACGATGACCCCTACAAGAACGAAGTGTTCTATGATCGCAATCGGAAGTTGCTAAGCCATTGATGATACACGATTCAACATGATGAGAACAAATTAACAATGTGTATAAACAAATTCAAAACCGATGACAAGTGGCACGTCGCTTTCGTATTGCTCTTTGTGTTAGTCATTTGATTGATTTGCTCAATGTTCCAACTTGTTGATCATGTCATTGTCTTGCTTTGATATCACTAGCGCGGGTCCGCTTTGTACAAAAAGACGAAGAAGAACCCTTCATGTTGATGAAGTTGAATGGGCAAGCATTGCCCATTCCTCCAAGACCGCCGACGCCAAAGCCGATGACGATGGTGTTGATGCAACCGCTAGAGGGCTTGCACCGGCCACCGCGTAACTAGGTTGAGGGTGAGGAAGTGAGAGACGAAGAAGGAGACACGAGAAGGGGCGGCGGCTAAGATGATGAAAGAGAAGCTTGAGGTCATCATGGGGAAAAAAGAGGATGCGGCTACCCAGGCGCAGTGAGCCCATGGAGGAAAAGAAGCCGGAGAGATTGGGCATGTTTATGGAGATGCAAAAGAAGAATATTAAGCTTGGGGAGCAAATGATATCTATCAAGCTCGCTTTCGAGGAGCAAAAGTTGATGTCAATGAAGGCGACCGGTCTGGATCCCGATGCGGCAAAGTTTGTTGAAGACTATCGTGCTACCACATGTAGATGCTTTGCGCAAAAGGAGGCGAAAATTGAGGTCTTTGGCACGGACAACTTGACTGGGTTTTTTTTTTTGAAATCTATATGGATGTGAAAACACTTGTTGAACATTTGATGCTTTTGATTTGATAGTAGTGGCATTTGTTTGCAAATGCATGATTGAAGTTGTATTGGTATAGATAAATTTGTCAAAAGGTGGAGGTGGGACATTTGGTGACTCTTGTTGGATAGCCTCCGTCCAATTGGCTCAATCAAAATTAGCAGCCAGACACTGGAGTGAGGTGGTCAATGTCCAGCTTTAGGTGGACACGCCGGAAATCCAGAGGCATGTATGTATGCTAGTCGTCAGGTTTCTTTTCTTAATTTATTATTACTATTGCACAACAAGTGGGGCCGGAGGCTGCCTGCTGGATTAGTTTATTAGCTTAACAAGTCCACAGACTTTTTTTCTTTAGAAAGAAATACTGTCTGAACTTATCATGGGAGGAAAAACAGAAGAAAAGGAGAAATAATGCCTGAAACCGGTGGCCTTGTCCAGATTCTTGCACACAAGACCATCTTTTAACATTTAATAATATAAAGCTGCTATGTCTTTAATTAATCGCATGACATGACATATTGACAGGGTTTCTGCAAATGTATGTATGTATGTATGTATGATACACGCTGACTGCAGCATACTTTCTTGTACGTACAAGAAACAGGGGTTCAGAGACATCACTAACATGTATTCCCTCCGTTCCAAAATAGATGACTCAACTTTGTACTAATTTTAGTACTCCCTCCGTTCCAAATTACTCGTCGCTGAAATGGATGTATCTATAACTAAAATACATCTAAATACATCCATACGTGCGACAAATAATTCAGAACGGAGGGAGTACAAAGGATGAGGAGGAAGGCATGTACTAGTAGTGCAGCTAGCAGGAGCAAAGACAGTGCACAGAGAAGATTGTTGTTGGATGTATGTATACAGGGATGATAATAAAGTTGGTGTTGGAAGTTGAAGGCACAATCCAGAAGAAGAAACATTCTTGTCGACTTTTGCTGCCTGCACACCACTCCATTTCTAGCAATTCCTGCAAAAGATACCATCCAGGATTCATTGTCCTATTCCTTGTAGCAGCAGCAGCAGCACCTGACAAAGTGACAATAGGTGACTAGTGAAGGAATGGCTTTACTGCCCTTTTCCCCTTTCTTTCCAAGTAGGGAGATAAGTTATGAGGAGGATGCAAACCTGAAGCAAGCATCCATCCATCCATCCATTCATTCATTGGTTACTTAGGATGTACTACTGGAGGGAGAGAGGATCATCACCTCATCATGAAACACTCATAAGTCACATTCACAGGAATGTCATGGAATGGAATTGATGATGAGATAGATGATCATCACCTCTTGCCCCACTCTCCCCTACTTGAGCCCTACTCTCTTCTACTCTGCTTCAACAAAGTACAAAAATTGACAGCAACACAGGATTAAGATGCATCATCACACAAGAGAAGAGCATTGCATTGCATTGCATTGCAGATCAAGTCAGACGGTACATACTTAGGACAAACACAAACAGGCATTAACAGTAACATGACGACGATCAAGTACTCACTCACTACCAACAACTAGCTAGCAACGAAAGAACGGTAAGCAGCAACCAACCAACATAGGTAGGTTGCTAATCTAGGAGCACATCATCATAACATAGATGATTATTAACTCAACGATTCTCTTCATATTCATCTGGGATCTATCCCATCAAAGGTGCAGGTGATCAAAGACTAAGGATGGGTCAGGCGTATATTACGCCTGAGGAGAGTGACATGAGGAGGATGGCGGCGCGCTCCTCCTCGCCCAGGCACGACGGCTTCCTCCGTCGCATCTGCCGCCGCCGCCGCTGCTGCTGCTTCAGCACCGCGTCCTTGGCGAACCCAACCATGTGGAGCTCCACGGTGTGCGTCGTCGCCGTCTTCTTGGTCTTCTTGGCCGCCTTCTCATCGTCGGCCTTCTGGTCCCCTGCCTTGGTGTCCTCCTCCTTGGTAGTAGAAGCCTGTGCTGCTGCTTCGGCTGCTGCCTTGGATATGGATATGGCGGCGTCGTCCCTCTTGGGCTTCCTCTTGGCCTCCGGGTCGAGCCCCATGGCCACCCGCCGCCTCTTCCGGTACCGGATCCCGCACGCGTTGCACAGCGACTGCGATCGAATCAAATCAAATCAATTCGAATCAGTCGATCGGATCGGATCGGATGAGGCATTCGATCGCAGGCAGGAACAGGAGAGGAATCGAGAGGAAGAGGACAGATCGATTGAAAGGGGAAAAGAAGAAGGAAAGAGAGCAAAGAGCGTACCTTTGGTCCGTTGGGTCCGCCGCGCCAGAGCGGCGTCTTGGTGGTGTTGCAGTCGTCGCAGGCCTTGGGGTCGCCAGCGCCTCGCTCCTCAGGATCCGCCGCCGCCTCAACGACCTTGTCGGACTCCATCTCCGCCGGCGACATCTTGTATGCGGAGCACGGATCGATTCCTGATCGCCGCTGCTCCCCGATCGGCTCCGATCGCTCGATCAAGCGCTTGATCAAGCGATCGATTGATCGCGCGGGGAAGGGGATGGAGGGAAAAAGTTTGGATTCCGCGGGCGGCGGCTCCCTCGGGTTTGGTTCGAATGGAGGGAGAGAGGGAGGGGTTTGGGTTGGGTTTATCTACTCTCCCTCTGCTCTGCTGCGGCTGTGGGTGAGGGTTTAGCTTAGCCGAGAAAGAAAGCTGTCTGTTTTTTTAGCGGCGGCGGCGCCTGGAAACCCTAATCGCGACCTCCAACTGCCCCTCACTGTGAATTTACCACTCTGCCCCCGCTCGGCCCACACAAAGCCCAGCGACACAACCCTCGTACCATTTCTGTTGCCGGACAGATTCGGCCCACCAGAAAAAACCAGTCTTTTTTTCAACCAGAAAAATTAAAAATAAAAAACCAATCTTTTTCTATACTGCCAGCTCTGTTCCCCGTGCCAATACAAAATCAAAATCCTTTTTGTTCTAAAAAAGACCAAATCAATCTTCTTTTGTGTCTACAATAATACCCAAGTGCTACTCCTACATCAATTAGTTTACAATTCCAAACCATCATCAACAAAATTTTGGGAAACCACAAAACAAACTCCCGGGAAGAGAGAAAAATTTGAGCCAGTTCCGAGCCAAGGTTTCACTTTTGAAACGAATCCACAAAACGGATCAGCGCAGCTCGGGGTGACGGAGGGTGTTGGGGAAGGAGCTCGACTCCTCGTCCTCCTCCCGCATCAGCTTGTCCATGATCATGTCGTGGGACCGCACGGTGCCCGACCTCGCCCCCGCCGGCGAGAACGGGAACGACGCCCTCCGCTCCAACGCCGACGCCTCGCTCGGGGGCCGCTCCAGCGCCATCGCCTCCTGCACCTCCTTCACCACCTCCGCCATGCAGGGGCGCCTCCTCGCGTCCGCGTCGATGCACCGCACCGCCGTCTCCGCCACCTTCCACACCGAGTGCACGTCACGGTACTCCCCGGAGATGGCCGGGTCCACCACCGCCTCGATGTCACCGCTCTCGTAGTAGAACTTGGCCTAAAGCATTTTCATTTTTGTTGTTGTTTTCAATGTGTCAGTAGCAACTTCCACATATATGACACATTTATTCCACTGAAACAATGAGAAAGAATGAGATGCTGGGTGGCTGACCCATGGGCCGATGTTGCGGAAGTGGTCGCCGAAGGTCATGGCCGAGATGGGCGGCCGCCCCGAGATGAGCTCCAGCAGGATGATCCCGAAGCTGTACACGTCGCTCTTCTCCGTCAGCTGCTGAGAGATGTAGTACCTGCATTTTCCACATACATAACTTTGAAACTGCAATTTGCAATTTTGAGTTCAGTAGGGAGTAGTGACTGACTGTGGGTCCAGGTAGCCCAGCGTGCCGCGGACGTTGGTGGACGCGTGGGACTCCTCCGCGACCAGCTTCGACAGCCCAAAGTCCGACACCTTGGCCCGCATCTGCTTGTCCAGCAGGATGTTGCTCGTCTTGATGTCCCGGTGGATGATCGACGGCGTGCATCCGCTGTGCAGGTACTCGATCCCTGCATCCAAATTCAGTTTCTTACAAGTTCAAAAATGCACTACTACCTGAACATATGCTTATGTCTGAATTTACAGAACAGTTACAGACCCTTTGCCGAGTCCTCTGCAATCTCAAGACGCTGAATCCAGCTGATGTGCTTGTCACGCCCTGCAAACAAACACATGGTTTGATCATGTCTGATTTGGAAAAAGAAAATTCTTTTTTTTATATATATTTGAGCCAATAGGTACGGGAACAAAAGGAAAATTACCATGGAGATGCTCTTTGAGAGTGCCATTCATCATGAACTCATAGACCAGGATGTTCCTCCCGTCTTCATGGCAGTACCCCAGAAACGCCACCAGGTTCCTGTGGTGTATCCTCGATAGCAATGACACCTGAACAAATTAACAGCAGCAACAGATGTCATGAATCACTCACTTAACACGCACGTCATGTATCCAAGGCTACAATAGCATTCTGCTGGCAAACAAATGAACACAACCAACCTCGTTTGTGAACTGCTTCTTCCCCTGGTACGAGTCATTCGTCGGCACCTTCACCGCAATCTCCCTTCCGTCCGGCAGCTTCCCGTAGTACACTATCCCGAAACCCCCGGAACCGATCCTGTTCTCAAAATTCTTGGTCGCCTCTTCGAGGTCGCATAATCTGAAGGGATGGCAAGTCTCGGTGGCGATTTCGCACGACGGCGCGTCTGACTTCTGCAGCTTGTGCGCGGGCGGGGCCGCCTTTGTAAGGTCATCTGGACCGGAATGAATGAAGGTTATAGAAGAGTTGAGAAGGAAACACTACAAGAAAAATATAACAAGATGTGAGGAGGCGACCTTCTGGTGGTGCGCTCTTTTTGTTGGCTTTGCGTGTCAGCACGTAGCAACAGAGGGAAACTGCAAGCAACAAGGATACTCCAAGCAGCGCAGATATGATGATTATCAGGTGGTGCTTCTCTTCATTCCCTGCCTTCAGGTCCATATTGCCAGCATAGCTGAAAATTTTACAGTGAGGAAAGCTTAAATATTAGTAGCTGATAGCAAGCTACTTAAATAACCGTTACTGGAATAATATGCTAATTTTTGTAGTGTATGAAGGAAAGAATACCGACTTGAAAATAATGCCTCTGCTTTTCAGAGCCTTGGGGATATACCCAGACAGCTTGTTATTCTCAAGATAGCTGCATTATATGTAGAATAATATTGGGCAGTCAGTTCACAAGGGCATGCTATTCTCTTTGTTAATATGGCAACTCTTTGGTATTACAACTGACTAGGTGTTAATATGGCAGGCAAACTGCAGTTAATTGGACAGTAATTAAGCAAGGGTTTGGTGAAAGACTCACAGCTCGGTGAGCTTGGGCAAGCTGCTCAAATATGAAGGCACACTGCCAGTCAGCTGGTTGTTCTCAAAGTGACTGCATTTTTGTTCAATGAGAAAATTAATTAAGTATCCATACATGAGAAAGAGGCAACTAGCGGTAGCGGAAAGTTGAAAATCTGAAATGAGGCAGGTGAATCACATGATTGAGAGGTTCGAAGAGGCGGCGAGGTCTGGAATCGGGCCCGTCAGCATGTTATCATCAAGTCGGCTGCAGAGAAATTCATGATCAATCACGACATGTGTACAAGTAATAGAATAGAGGTGTTAATTCATGGTTTAATGAGCGGACATGATGTGATAAGAAAGGCAATGATGAAAGTTGTTACATTTCTGCTAAGAATGATAAAGCCACTAGTTCCGGAGGTACGCCCCCTGTCAAGTTCTTCCCTGAAAGATTTCTGTTCACAACTAAAGGTTGTTAAATCGCAGATATATGCTAAATATTAGCACAAGATCAGGAAACAATAGAATGGAGAGTTAAGTGAATGGATTACATACATTGAAACCACTCTTAGTTGTGGTTCTGAGGAGCATCTGACCCAGGACCACGGCGAGGGCCAGCAGGGATCGCCGCCTTCATTGGCCCAATCACCGAAGGACGTGTACCGCGACGCGAGGCTCGCCATGGCCAGCGCGTCCGGGGACCCGGGCTCAATCTCAACATACTTGTAGATCTCGAATGCGTTGAGAATTGGTCCCCTGGACGAGTCATTGGTCTTTCTAAACGCAAATGAGAGCACAAAGGGCAGTGACACGTTATAGTAGCCTGGCTGGTAGAGCCGTAACTTCCCAGGAGCATTCTCACCGACGTCAACGGTGGCCTTGCTAACGTCGGGTAGGCCAGGGATGAAGAGCTTGAACTTGCGTGTCTCGGGGACGATGGACTCCTCGATCTCGGCGAAGTAGGAGAAGGCCCAGCCATCGCCCGGGAAGCCGTTGAGGTTGAGCCGGTAGGTGAGCTCACCTAGGGTGCCTACGACGGCGGTCTGCATCACCTTCTCCGGCGGCCTCTCGCTCGTGGCAACGAACACCGGCTTGTCGGTGGACACGTTGACGGTGCCGGGCGCCGCGTCGACCAGGTAGTTGGCCCGCCGGACCATGTCCGACTCCCATATCCGGTCGTACGGATCATCAGGATACCTGCATTCATCGAATTAACCATGATCATTTTTTAAATTTTTTTTGAAGGTCACCGGGGGGGATGGGGGCTGAATCATTTTCGTTTATTTGATGATCAGAGAAGTAACAGAGTTTAGGGGATCAGGGGAAGGTACAAGTGAAAGAGAGAGGGGGGGGGGGTGAGATGGGGCAGCACCCCAACCATCCATGTGTTTACAACGATCGCGCCGCACTAGGGTGGTCACCGCGGCCCACTCTGAGAACTGTAATCGATTAAGACCAAAACAACAAGAAGAAGAAAATTATTTCTTTGAAACATAAAAATGGAAATAAAAGATATTTTGGTGCACGTGAACTAGACGGCGCTGCTTTTGGTAATGAACACCCTCACATTTCCCTGCCTGGAAATATTGATATTTCTGTTATGGATGACCCCCAGCCAACTGCCTGATGGTAACTGGATAAGTATAATTACAAACAGAGGCTTGTTACTTGTTACATAGAAATCAAATCCCTCCATGATATGCCTTTTTTTCGGAGTGTTATAAGAGGATTTGGAAAAATAGATTCTGTTGGTGGAACCTTACCTTGGTCGGGTTTTAACAAGGAAGAGTTTGAGACCTTACCGGTTTGTCGACATGAATTATGTGTTGTGACAGTGGTTAAAAGGGAAAATGGTGATTTGTTTGTTTGTTTATGAACCTGAGACCAACATCCATCTTGGTTCAACCTTTTTGAAAAAATCTGATCTGCTCTCTGATCCAGAGAAGAATTCTTCTCCAGGCTATCTTTTGGAGGAAAAAATGGTGAATTATGTGTTGTCACAGTGGTGGTTAAAAGGGAACCTTTATCTGAGGAAAAGATGAGAAAAATGCTATCTTTTGGAGGAAAATGAGTTGTTTTTCAGGCGCTTGCTGCTTGCTGTCTGTTATGAAACTACCTGCTTGGGAAATTCATGCCACATATGTGTCATACCAAAAACATGACTTGACCAATCGGGGCACGGTTTGTAAGATGAAGGATTCTGGTGGCCTGGGCATTCCAAATCTTAAGGAGGATATTAATGTACAGACAAAAAAAGACACTCGTTTGCTGGAGTTGACAAATTTTGGGTTCAATTGGTTGACCACAATTTAATTGTGTGAAAGAAAAAATCACCATTTGGTATGTAGGCATATAGTCTACGAATCCAGTGATTTGTAGGAAGAATAGCAAGTGAAAGATGATTGATTACATTTTCAAATCATCATCATCAGGAGAAGAAGAAAAAGAATTGGGAAAGGGGAACACGGACCTGACGGGATCTGGCGAGGGTGCGCCGAAGTTGATGCGGGCGGCGAGGGCGAGGAAGGCGCGGGCCTCGGCGTCGGTGCGGTACAGCGACCCGTTGAGCGGCCGGAGCTCTAGGGTGGATATAAACGGCCGCCCCGTGGTGGCGTTGGAGAGGCAGACGGAGACGGTGGAGGACTGCGCCAGCACGACGGCCTCCCTCGTGACGAGGCGGGCGCCGTCGTAGACGACGACGGGGGACCAGCGGGTGGCGCCGAGGTAGAGGTCGAACTCCGGGAAGGCGTCGTCGCCGTCGAAGCCGGCGTAGAGGAAGGTGGCCCGCAGCAGGTAGCGCGCGCGGGTGGCGACGGGGAGCGCGTAGCAGTGCTTGGCGCCGTCGGACGGGAAGGCGCGCAGGGTGGTGTACTGCTGGGTGTCGGTGGTGGAGGTGTTGGGGGTTGAGATGGGTGTGCCGGTGGCGATGAGGGCGGCGTCGGAGGTCCAGCGCAGGCCCCGGGCGTCCGTGTAGTTGGCGGCGCCGCCGCAGTCGATGCTGAGGAAGCCTGCAGCAGCAAATAGGAAATTAGGAATAGTACTAGTAAATTAACGTCATTAAATCAAGGATTAGGTGTGGTGATGGTGATGAGTTAGTGATTGAAATCATCCACTGATGAATTGGCATGCAGGTGCAGACGCAGTGTGATTAAATTAGATAAATCTCGCTCTGGTTAAATGAATGATACTACATGAAGCTGCTACTTACTTGTCCGATGGTAACTGACGGATGAATTAGCAGAGAAGAAGAAGAAGAAGAAGATCCTAACGTACCAGGCATCTGAGCTCGTGAGACGGCCGGGAAGGAGGAGCACCACAACAAGAACAAGATGATGTGCAGCAGCAGAGCAAGATGAAGATGTGGAAGCCTGTGGTGCAGGTAGCAGCAAGACCAACAAGAGGAAGAGGAGCTCAGATGTTGTGTTGGAGGAGTCTCGGCGGCCATTGCTCTGCTCTCCTCTGCTCTGCTCCAATGAAGGGAGACCTGCCGGAGCAGTCCAGTGGTCGCCGGCCGGTGTTTCTTGCTACTTACTTGGTTGCTATGTAAGCATATACTGTATCTATCTATCTGACTGGCTGACTGACTGATTGATTGATTGATTGATTATGGCACTCTACTCCACTCCCCTCGAGTAGAGGAGGAGATGGGGAAAGTGAAGCACCTCTCCTCTCCTCTAGAGTGAAAGTGAAGGGAGGGAGGAAGAAAGCAGAGCAGAGCAGAGCTGTGTGAAGAGAGGAGGGAGGAGGGAGGAGCAGCACCACCACTCACTGTTAAGCAAAGCAACAAAGCAAAAGCAGTAAAGCACACCAGCACTCACTCAGTGAAACAAACCTAAAGCTAGGCTAGAGGAAGAGGAAGCAGAGCAGAGAGATGTGCAACACTCCACTCTGTAAAGTTGTCCGTCCTTTTGTTTTTGTTGCACTGAGAGAAGGAGGGAGGGAGCCCACTCTCCGTCCATTCATCTCAACTTCATTTTTACACCACCATGCTGTGCAACAAGTAGCAAATGCCTGCACTCTCTTGCCCAATAATGGCATTTCTACCATATCACCGTCCCATAATATAACAGCATTTCTGACCCTAAACAACACTCCTACTGTCTTACATTTATGAAACAGGGAGAGTCTATAAAAGGGTGTGGTTAGATCTCAGTCCACCAAGCCTTAACCAAGTCTCAGCCAAACATATAAATAAAGAAAGAAGAAACAGAGAATTTTGCACTGATCTTCACGTAACATCTCACGAATATAGCATAGACCGAGACTTCGTCAAGTCACTGAGGATTTAGCAACCCGATACTAAAACTGTTAAAAGTGCTCCATGTCGCACTCTACTAATATTTTTAGGGAAATCATATTTTTTTCCACAGCTAGTGAATCCTCTATAACTTACTTCCCTAAAGTATACGTTGGGTTCATGCAATTAATCGACTGCCTAGGATGTGCCATGTCGGTGAAGCTGCACACGGCGTGTGTCATCTCATACATCACCATCTTTCTCCTCCTCCTTGTTTGCCATCACCCCGGAAGCATCTCGGACGTCGACCACAACGCATGGTGGCCACTCTCCTTGGAGCCGCCGCTGTGAAAGCATGAGAGGGAGACTGGTAGACGGACCTAAGAGCCCGTCGTGTTATCAGCGTGAGACGGCCGGCTAGGCACGCCCTAGAGTCCAAAAGTTGTTGGCCTTGACCTGTCTACGGGGCTTCTCACCCTAATGGTTCCCGGCCTAGTGGACTGGGTTAAGGATGTCGGTTCAGTCCTAGGACACATTGGGCGGGCCATGGCGGTGTACATGAATATTCAGGAAGACTTGGAGAACAATCCAAATATACCGGAGACATATATGAACGACTTCACCTCCACCAACATAGTCGACCTAGTTTTGTAACCCAAGGACCCCTAGTATGCCAGGGGTCGGGCTGGTCATAGATCATATTTAATCCCTTGGCACTTTACCTCAACTTTGGACACACTCCAATGCAATGTACACAAGCATGACATAGGGCATTATCTCCTCCGTAAGAGCACCACCATCGTGCCAAGTCACAAAGTTAGGATACCCTACAAGAGGATTTGTCGGATTTAGCTCCGAAAGTTGCCATTGTTGTTCCATAGGGCACAAGGATGTTTGGGCAAGGGCAACCGGGTGGGTAGCTCACGACGGCGCGAGGCGAAGAATGCCCGTGATTCCGACCATGGCTCCGCCCGTGATTCATGAAATTCTTCGTCACCGGCGGCATTCCGGCACCGGCGAGGGTCACCGGAGCAGTGGTGGGGGGGGGTGTGGATTTCATTCCCCGATGAGCGGGGCGGCACGGCTGTCTCCCTACTTTTACTCTAGGGTCACGCGTTGGACCAAATATAGTCATCTCGGGATGGTTTGTAGGGAGTGAGACTAACTTTTTTAAAAAGTAAAGTTGGTTTTAGGCAATCTGCTAGCTAGTGTTTAACTCCCTGAAACTCTTGTTTTTTTTCTCCTCCTCAAATACAGGTTTTAGGGGATCTGCTACAGGAGATGCAGATGCTTGGCTCCATGTGTCTACATACATCACATGAGATGAAGCAAGGAAAGATTAAGCAAGCTTTTCACGCGTCAACTGGAGCAGGTCATCCATCCATGAGATATGATGAGATTAAAGATCCAGCTGCATGCGTCCTGAAAAGATCAAGGAAGCTTTTCTTCATGCTCAGCTGCAGCTAGAGCATTCATCAGAGAGATGAGATTAAAAGATCCAACTCCAACTGGGGAACTGATCCTCTAACATCATGAAGGGATGTCACGAAGCTACAGTGCAATCCCGGTGCAAAATGAAAAAGGGATGTTACAGACATTATGCGCAGTTACTGTCCATAAAAAATAAAACCTGAAATTAATTTTTATTGCACCATAATTTTGTTTGCATGTAATTTTTATAAATGTGTACAGTAGATTTATAATTTGCAAATTAATTCAAGTCATTTTAGGCTTAATCATATGGATGTGAAGAAGGGATGTCAGGGTACTGTAGCTTCCCTGACATCCCTTGGTGATGTTAGAGGATCTCGTTCCCTCCAGCTGAGGGACCCATCATCAACCATCATGCCAGCCAGATTATTGTGATTCAGTCAAATTAAGGCAACCCATCAGTCGTCCAGTGCAGTCAACTTTGCATGCATTCTTCTTCCTTTCTTTGCCATTCCTTTCAAACATGCATACTAGTAAAGCAGAGAGAATGAAAGAACATGTTACTAAGAATATAAACAATGCATGCAAAGTTTGCAGGCATCTTTTTTACTGCTACTGCTACTACTCTGCCATTTTCTTTATCAGCCATGCCCATGCAAGTCACTGCATCCAGCAACCATTACTGCTACTCTGTAACTAACTGCACTCTCTCTTGGCCACTAAGCTGGAGAAAAATGTAATATTTCCATACTTGAGCTGGAGCATCCATCCATGAGATGAAATCAGATTAGGCTCCAGCTGCATGCATGCAGGCATCATGAAAAGAAAGATGAACCAAATCTCTTTTCTTCATGCTGAAGCTCTGGAGCATCCATCCATTCTCCCATCTCAAGCTCCAGCTGCAGCTGAGGGACCCATGATCAACCATCATGCCAGCCAGCCAGGTGATTGTCCACTCAAATTAAGCTGGGCTGAGACTGACTGCAGCATCTGTCTTCCTCCCTTTCTTTTTCTCTCTTCCTTTCACATTACCTTTACTTTCCAAAGGCAAATAAAAATACAATACATACGTACTCATACATACTAAAGCAGAAAGATAGATAGATGAGCATGTTTTGTTCAGTTTAAAAGAATATAAACAAGCAAGCAAAGAATGCATGCATGCATATCAAAAGTTGGCATCTACAGCTACTACTACTCTGCCTTTGCTTTTTCAGCCCATGTTCATGCATATGCATGCATCCCACTGCAGCACAAGCCTTGACAAATCTACCAAGCATGCCTGGTGGGTATCACACTCTCAGTTACTACCAGTTAAATTACTCTACTAGTCATGCCAAATAAGATGCTACCCACCATCATCATATAAAAGCACATAGATGCATCAATGCTCCTCTCCTCTGCTGCTACAAACATAACCACCACAACAATAACAACTAGAGATTAACTACTGACCACAGAATTTCAACCACACAGCACAGACAGACTTTCAGGTACCAACAAAGTCATCAGGTTTTCACACCAACATGCATCCAGTCCTCAGATGCAACCATGCATGCCATAACTCTTTTTACATCTTACTAAATAACAAACACCTCTCAGCATCAGCATCAGCATCAGCATCAGCATCCAGGGAGCATGCCATGCCATGCCATGCCACCGCCTCCAAAAAGACACCAGCAAGCCACAATGCTTGCTTTCTTACTCCTCTTACTCCTCCTTTTAACACCAACAGAAAGCTACCACCACCTACATAACAAACACCTCCACTCCTCATTCACCTGAAACCAACAACACAGCAACACAGCATCAGCACATGCAGCTCAATGCAACAAATAAATCACCAGGGAAGGGAAGCATCATCATTACACGGCGGCAGCAGCAGCAATAAATAAATCATCATATCCAATTACCTCTCTCCTCCACCTCCAGCAGCCCTGTTCACTCCTGCTTCGGCCCGTCGTCACCCCGGAACGCAGCGGCGGCGGCGGCGCACGGGAAGTCGGTGAGGCGGAAGCTGTCGAGGCCAGGCCTGAGGGCGGCGATCTTGCCCGCACCGCCGAACGCCGCCTCCGCGTCCGCGCGCCGCCTGAACACCACCTGGGCTGAGCTCGAGTGCTCGTCCGTCTCCGTCCTCGCCTCGCTCACGGGCCCGTACTGGCTGAAGATGTCGATGAGGTCGCCGCGCGAGGGCACCACGCCCGGCTTGCTGAAGTGCAGCACCAGCCCCGTCAGCGACGCGTCCTCCTCCGCCCCGTTCGCCTTCCCGTTCTCTGCCTCTGCCTTGTCTTGCTGGCTTTCGGCCTTTGCTTCCTCCGCGGGCATCTCATCTTGCTTCATCTCGTCGTCACGCCGCTGCTTCTTGCTTGATCTCATCTTGCCCTTGTCCTTCTTCTTTGCCTGACTAGACAGCGGTTCTTCCACGTTTATGAGAATGTCAGCCCAGTAATCGTCCTTCATATGATCACCCGCCACCGGCGGCTCTGACGGAGCAGGGGAGCTCCTTGCTGCCTTCTCAGACATCTCTGCTTCAGCATGAGGACTGGGAGCTTTGTCTGCTGCCTTCCCAGACATCTCTGCTTCAGCATGAGGACTAGACACTTTGTCTGCTGCCTTCTCAGACATCTCTGCTTCAGCATGAGGACTAGACACTTTCTCTGCTGGCTTCTCAGCTATCCCCTTGTCGGCAGGGGGGCAAGAAACTTTCTCTGTTGCCTTCTCAGGTGTCTCCACGTCGGCAGGGGGGCTAGAAACTTCATCTGCTGCCTTCTCAGGTATCGCCTCATCAGCATGGGGGGGACTAGAAACTTTCTCTGCCGTCTTCTCAGGTATCACCTCATCAGCAAGCGGACTAGAAACTTCCTCTTTTACCTTCTCAAGTGTCTCCTCACCGGCAGGGGCATCAGAAATTTTCTCTGTTGCTGCCGTCTCAGGTGTCTCCTCGTCGGCAGGGGCACTAGAAACTTTCTCTGTTGCTGCCGTCTCAAGTGTCTCCTCGTCGGCAGTGGCACTAGAAACTTTCTCTGTTGTTGCCTTCTCAAGTGTCTCCTCGTCAGCAAGGGGACTAGAAACTTCCTCTTTTACCTTCAAAAGTGTCTCCGCGTCGGCAGGGGCAAGTGAAACTTCATCTGCTGCCTTCTCAGGTATCGCCTCATCAGCATGGGGACTAGAAACTTTGTCTGCTGCCTCCTCAGGTATCGCCTCATCAGCATTAGGACTAGAAACTTTCTCTGCTGCCTTCTCAGGTATCATCGCCTCATCAGCAGGGACACTGGAAACTTCATTTGCTGCCTTCTCGGGTATCACCTCATCAGCATTGGGACTAGAAACTTTCTCTGCTGCCTCCTCAGGTATCACCTCATCATCAGCATGAGGACTAGACACTTTGCCTGCTGCCTCCTCAGGTATCACCTCATCGTCAGCATGAGGACTAGACACTTTGTCTGCAGCCTCCTCTGGCACCTCCAAGTCAGCATGAGGACTAGAAACATTGTCTGTTGCCTTCTCAGGTATCTTCTCGACAGCATGAGGACTAGAAATCTTGTCTGCTGCTGCTTTCTCAGGTATCTCTTCGTCAGCATTGGGACTAGAAACTTTGTCTGCTGCTGCCTTCTCAGGTATCTCCTTGTCAGCATTGGGACTAGAAGCATCGCAGTCTGTGTTGGCTGCCTCCTCCACATCAGAAGTACAGGCACGAGCGCTCTTCAGGAAATCAGTCAAGAAGCCAGCGCTCGTAGGGGTGATCTTCGCCATCTTCTCAACATCACTTGCTCCGACACAAAGCTGTGACAGCATTTCACCACAAGACGGAGAGCCTTCTGCCACGGCGCCTTTCTTGCCCTTATCCGGCTTAACAGAGCGTGGAGGCTTGTCTGGAACAGTTACTTCACTGTTTTTGGCCCTACGCGACCTCGTCTGAGAAGCTTCACCGTTAGCTTTGACAACAGGGGTTTCCTGTGGCTTCGGTTCAGCAGCTTTGCGCCTTGCGGACCTTTTGGAAGAGACAGGCTCTGGCTGGGAAGACATATCGCCTGATATGCCAACATTGGCTTTGACAACAGGAGATGCCTGTGACTTCTGCCCAGCAGCTTTGCGCTTCACTTCTCGAGATTTCGTGGAACTCTTGGGAGAAACAGGCTGTGGCTGGGAAGACAAATCCCCCAATGTGTCGAGCTTCTTTCGTTTCCTGGTGTACATTGTATCCTTCATAACAAGGTTATCAGGATCCTCTGGTTCCTCAGTTGATTCAGGCAGAGAACTTGTCCCCTTAGTCTTCGCTGTACCCTTTGTAACACGGTCAGGATCCTCAGTTGATTCAGGCCGAGAGCGTTTACCCCTAGTCTTCGCTGTACCCTTTGTGCCGCGGTCAGGATCCTGAGGTTTCTCAGCTGATGCAGGCAAAGAACGCTTCCCTCTAGTCTTCAGTGTATCATTTTTATCACGGTCTGGGTCCTCAGGTTCCTCGGCGGAAGAAGGCAAAGAACTTTTTCCTCTAGACTTCAATGTACTTCTCGTATCACGCTCAGGTTTCTCGGTTGATGCGGCCACAGAACGCTTCTCTCTGGTCTTCATTGTATCCTTATCACGGCCTGGATCCTCAGGTGTCTCAGTAGAAGCAGGCAAAGAACGCTTCCCTCTGGTGTTCGGTGTAGCCTCAGGTTTCAGGACTGAAGAAGGCAAGGGGCGCTCAGCTCGAGCCTTGCTCTTACCACCTGCTGAAGGGTTAGGGGTAGCTGTCTCTGCCAGAAGTTCAATAAGCGTCTTCTTCTTCCTGCCAAGCTCTGAGACTGCGAAGGGCGGATTCTCTGTTGCTGAGAGTACATCAAGGTGCAACCTTTTCTTGAGAGGAGAAACTGTAAGTCCATCCCCATCCTTTGTGATTGTGGTTTTATCCTTGTGGCGTGCAGAGCCCGCCCTACGCCCTAGATCGTTCTCCTTGGGCAAAGTAGCATCTTTATCTTTTACCTTTGTGGTTTCACCAGCATCCTTCTTCCTCGGCCATTTCATAACCTCCAAAGCCTCTACAATCTTGTGGCTGGACCTTAGCCTACGCCCTGATTTTCTCTCACTCAAAATGCCATCCATCGCATCCATGGACGTGTCTATGATCCTGTTCCTGGCTGAACTCTTCTTACTGGACTTCCTTTTCTTGCTCGGTGTATCATCTGCCGCCCCTCTACTCGGCGTTGAACTGCCATCACCAGTGGCCTTTTCCTTTGCAGGCTCTTGCAGAGACTCCTTACCTGCGTCTTTCTTCTTCTTCTTTGCCGACCTCGTACTGCGCATAGAGCTGTCCTCATTCTCAGCACCTTCCTTTGCAGGCTCTGGTAGAGACTCATTCTTATCTGCATCTTTCTGCTTCGTCTTTGCCGAACCTTTACTTTTCTTTGACTTTCTTCCCTTGCTCACTGTATCATCTGTCGCCTCTGCACTGGGCATAGAGCTGTCCTCATTCTCGGCAACTTCCTTTGCAGGCTCTGGTAGAGACTCTTTCTTATCTGCATCTTTCTTCTTCGTCTTTGCCGAACCCTTACTTTTCTTTGACTTTCTTCCCTTGCTCACTGTATCATCTGCCGCCTCTGAACTGGGCATAGAGCTGTCCTCGTTCTCGGCCACTTCCTTTGCAGGCTCAGTTACAAAGTCTGTCTTGTCTGTGTCCTTGGAGGTGTCGTTCTTCTTCGTCTTTGCTGAACTCCTAGTAGCTCTCTTTGACTTACTTCCCTTGCTCGACATATCATCTGCCGCCCCGCTGCTGGGCATAGAGCTGTCCTCATCCACATCATCTTGTTTTGCAGGCTCTGCCTCTGGTAGAGACTCGCCCTTATCTGCCGTGTCTTTGGAGGCGTCTTTCTTCTTGCTCTCTGCTGCACTCTTGCTAACTCTCTTCGACTTCCTTTGCTTGCTCAATGTATCATCTGTCGCCTCCACACTCGGCATAGAGCTGTCCTCATTCACATCATCTTCTTTGGCAGGCTCTGCCTCTGGCAGAGACTCGCCCTTATCTGCAGTGTCTTTGGGGGTGTCTTTCTTCTTTTTCTCAGCTGAAGCCTTGCTACCTCTCTTTGACTTCCTTTGCTTGGTACTGGGCATAGGAGGGGTGTCCTCAACAACCATGTCAGCATCTTTGTTTGCAGGAGCTTCTCCCTTATCCGCTGCATCTTCGGAGGTGTCCATGATCCTGTCCATGGGCATAGGAGTGCTGTTCTCAACATCAATGGCCACTTCTGGTTCCTTTGCAGCAGTATCTCTCTTGGGCGACGAGCTCTCGCCACGCCTCCTCGATTTCTTCTCCTCCTTGGTCGGAGCATCGCCGCCCTTCTCCTCCGTCCTCTTCCTCTTTGTCTGCGGCGATGTTGCTGCCACATCAGCATCAGCCTCAGCCTCAGCCTCAGGAGCAACAGCAGCAGCAACGTCCTCAATCCCCTGGTAGATGACAAACTCAGGGAGCTCCATTGGACACCTCAACCGGTTGAATGACCTGAGCTGTGCCATGGCGGTGGCAAGGTCGAGACGATCGGCGCCGGCCAGCGGGCTCCTCCCCAGCGCCGAAATGTAGTCGATGAAGGGCTTGGCACGGAACGTGTCCCTCATGTACACCTCGTCCACCACGGCGCCGTAGGCCCCTTCCCTGATCCCGGAGTTGTGAATCTGCTGCTTCCTGGCGACGGCGGGCGGGGAGCAGGTGCAGGAGAGGCCGGCCTCGATGCGGCGGGTGACCTCCTGCAGGGCGGCGTCGACGGAGGCGACGTAGCTGGAGACGGTGCTCTGGGCGGCGAGGCGGGGGAAGTGGGCGCGGAAGGGGCGCAGCGCGGGGGGGTCCATCCAGGCGAAAGTCCGGTCCCAGAAGTAGGCGACGAGGGGCACCCCCGGCCTGGCGTGCCGGAGCGCGAGCTCGGAGGCGTCGGCGGCGTCGAAGACCTGGGCCGGCCACCAGGGGTGGCTCCGCACCTTGCACCACACCACGTCGGGCGGCGCGAACCCCTGCTGCCCCTCCTCGTCCTGGAACGCGCAGTCGTACCGCGGGCGCGCGCCGGCGTCGTCCTCCTCGCCGCCGCCCTCCTTGTGCAGCTTGGCGCGGCCGCGGCGGGGGCTCTTGAGGACCTCCTCCACCTCCGGGCGCATG